GGAGCTGCTTCTGTGTACAATTGCTGGCGCAAGCTACATTAAAGTGATTATTACGTTTTGAATATGGATATTTTTCTTATAAAAACGCATCGATTTGCTACAGGAGGACTTTGTTCACCCCCCGGAGCCGTGTGAGACACCTTTTTTTTTTAAATAGATGGGCGCTTTTTATTTCACTTCTTTTGGACTGATGCACTGCAACACCCACTGAGTGCCATGAAACAGCTTGAAAGATCAAAGACAATTTTTAATATAACTCCGACTGAACTAACCCTTTAAGTCCACAAGACCGTAAGGGGTCCCATTCGTCATTTTAGCTTTCAGAAGGGTGCTCGCGAACGCCCCCTTTTGTGGCCGCTATGCGCCCTCGATGCGCACTTCTGCCGAGCCTGCACTGGGGCGAGCTCCGCAGAAGACTTCTAGTCTGCAGCCAGCTGCGGTATTACGTCACGAGAGTGTGGACTCAGAGGAAGACCGAGAGGGTTTAGGGTGTGATTTGGAACAGGGCCAATTTCATTTGTATTCTGGGGTGGACATAGACCATAGACTGTAAAAAAGGCTTAGACAGTCCGAGTCCACACCCACTACTTTTTATGCTGATGCACCGAGCGAAATATATATATATATATATATATATATATAGGGCCACAACATCTCCATGGCTTTGTTGTTTCTCAGTCAGACATTATTGTGTGGAGACCTCAACTGATGTACCGCCTGACTAACCCGCTTTCTCTCCAGTCAGTCAACCCCCCCCCCTCCACTAACAGTATCTGCGTCCAGCATTCGTGTGAGGGGCAACATGCTGGCGGGGCAGAATTACTTGATGAAGTGACAAAGGACGGGAGGAATCTGAATCTGACTGACTAGAAGTTCTCCAAGATAAAATAGAATGTGTGGCGTTTCAGTGCTCTGACAAACACCACAGACGAGCTTTTTAGAAACAACACAACCACAGCATAGAATAATTATTTAAATGGTTTTATAATATCATTGAGAATCCCATTGCGTCTTCGCAGATTAAATAAAGACGGGTTCAAATGTGAAGTGTTGAACAGACCAGTCACTGAGCCCAATATCTACGTGATATGACAGTGTCACCTGGCGGTAATAGTGTCTATTGCACTCACAAATCCAGACCGAATTCAAGAGATCCAGAAAGGCAAAAATAAAGCAGCAACAACAGCATCGAAATAAATTAGAAGATAAATAATCTTTATTTGACATGTCTTTTTCATATATATAAAATTATGTATCCACAATTAATATTACCAAGGCGTTTACAGAGAATTCTTTCTCAGTCGTGGGTGCAAAGCTCCAGCCGGTTTGTGCGCAGGCAGAAAGACAGCTGTCCAGTGCTAACGGATCCTCTCAGGACCACACTGTGCTCGAAAACGAATGGAGGGAAACGTCGCTACAATCTTTTGTTTGCTTTCCTGATTGTCAACCTTTCGAGAGTGTTCATAGCGAACAATCAAGTACGTTTCAGAATGAAAACATTCAGCATTGTTTGATGAAAACGGTATGTGGGAGAATCACCAACAAAAGTTGTTCAAAAATGTGAGAACAAAAAAAAAATGATTCGACTAGTTTTTAAATATGAATTGAGATAGATTTACAAAGCGGACGTCCAACTTTCTGCATAACACACAGACGTTTCATATATCTGGAGGCATATTACCCTCACCAAACCCTTCAAGAGAACGACTTCATAAACCAGTATGGACTACTGGACGTCACTCTGTGTAAACCACAAGATGTTTCTTTTCCAGAACAATCAAAACAGACAAACAAAAACTAAAAATCATCCTACATTCAAACCCAATTATAATTGCAAAAATGATCATTAGCACAATTCTTATCTTTATTTTACAACTCCTAAACTAAATTTTAAAGACACAAACCCCCCTGCAACCTTTAAAAACAAACTGTAACAATGAATAAACAACCTCCACTATTCTACAAAATATTCTCCATCCTTAGTTACTTGAACTCAGAAAGAAAAAAAAAGTTTTGCACTCTTCTCTTCTGGGTGGTGATGTTTCATTTAAGTCATTTAAAAAAAATTTAATATACTGTATAGGTTATTAATTACAGTAACAAGGTTCCATGCAATCAGGTATTTCGTTTAGTTTTTTTTCTGTACAAGCGTTCAAGAGATCAGTAGTTATTAGCAAGGCTGTACAAAGCCCACACTTTCTATTGGTGCAGATGTTAGTGTGATGAATATGAGCGGCCTTACTGCCTCGTGTCAATCCGCTGACCCTAAAGTTACATGGTAATACGTTGCCATTAGAATAGCTAAAGATGTGAGAGCACATGGGAAACAGAGCTTGCCTTTAAAATAGCATTTACACCACTCACATTTGTTGCTGGCAAAACAGATGACTCTAGGCTGTGACATAAGGATGCTCACACTACTGTCACAGCTAACAAGCGGACACAGACTCTTCACACTGCGTTTTTACCACGGCAAGCATAATGACACCAGGCACAGGCGTACTTGGTTTGCCAATTTGTCTGATAACAGCACACCTGCATTTCCCAACAGATCGATGAAGGCATATGATACCCTTAACAGCAAAACTGACAAACTAAACCACCTGGGTTCTTTCAGTCGAATACATTATTATTACTTTATTTAAAAAAAAAAAAAAAAGGCGCAGAGTTCAGCAAAATTTCAAGAAAAGCACTAGCGGTAGAGAGTCCTCCCTCTGCGGACATGATGCACGACAAGCATGTTAGCCCCATTGCATTAAGGATGTAAATTCATGTGTTCATGATGACGACGATATCAACTCAACCGAAATGTAGAATAGGGAGGAAGAAAAACAAGAGCAAATGAAGAAGCCATTTGGCAGCATACAGTGTTAAAGAAGGATGAAAAGGTGCAGTTTAGGACTACTGTGGTTACATTTCAAAGGATAAGACGGTACAGAGAAGAAGCGAGTAAAAGTACATTCAAGTGAGACTCCTTTACTCCGTAATGAGGGTGCATGTGTTGTGTGGAGAAGTGAGTCGGATAATGTTACACATCAAAGCTGTCCCAACAAGCAATGCTGCAGACTTGGGACTGCCCTTCAACTCAATCAACAAATCCCTTTCTTTCCTTCTCCTTCCCTCTCATCATATTCAAAACCTGCCGTAGATATTAATACTTACAGCATGTGGCAGGTTAGACCACTTTTAGATGGATTTACTTGCAGCACATAGTTACTAGTGTTCAACTGGAGTTCACTCTAGAGAATAGAAGAGGTGGAGAAGAGAAGTCTGGGATAGATCAGTTCACTTGCTCCCTTTGTGTTTGCGATCATATGTAAATATTTTGGATAGTTTTTAAATGTTTTGTAGGTGAAATTAATTCCTGGGCCTATTATTTCACATATACTTGAATCCAGAACGGAGTATGTTTCAACATTCTCAGGTTTAAGTGGCACCTATTTTAGACTTAATCTTAAAAAGAAAAAAAATGTTTTCAAGTGCAATATAAATATATCTGCTGCCAGGTTTGCCTTGTGTAAACAGCTATCTAAATTAAACTTATGGCTAAGAGAATGAACTCTCAGCACTGAAGGTGGCCATCCCATCTGTGAAGAAGGGAGGAACGAGAGAGACACTGGAGTTGACCACTTAAGAAACTGGCCATTCTGTCCAAACGCGAATATTCACACATTAAAAGACGCCCATGGTGCCATCTCCATCCTCTCTTTTTCAATTAGAATCTCTCCTCATTGTGTAAAGTGAGAGAATTTAACCCGTAATACCCAAATGTTTAACGTCAAACCCTCTTCTTCTCCCTCAAGCAGCACCAGAAACTGCCCTACTATGTACAGCAAGGACATGAAAGCTAAAAAGAGCAAGATAAAAGAAAACAAATGGTCTCAAGTGCTTGACATGATTGAATTAGGTCCATGCACATGCCAACACACACGCACACACCTAATCTCTCGCTCCCACAAAAACACACACAGACAGTAACACAAACTACAAGCCCTGCTTGTTTTAGTGGTGGCTGGACATGCAGCGAAGACACGGGATGAGTGATGACGAACGTGTGTGTGAGCGTGTGTATGCATGGGGCGCAGTCTTAAAAGCTCGGAGGAAAAAGGCAGGGGTGGGCGTGTGTGTGTTCATGTGTGTCTGGAGGAAGTTGTCCTAGAATTTCAGCTGCCGACTCTTCCTGTACCTTTCCTCCTCTTCACCTGCAGATCCCAAGAAGAGAGAGAGGGAGAGAGAAGTTATATAGTGCCTCCAGGAAATGAAGACCAGAACAATGAAGGTAAATTCGAATTGGACAGGCTATAGTTAAAGAAAATACCTTTTAAAAGATGAGAGGAGAAAGTTAAACTGCCGGAGGAGAAACAGATCAGAAGAAACAAAAAGAAAACGTCAATATAAAAGAGACAGAAGCATTGACTGGAATATTAAGAACAGTCACTTCAGGGACAGAGACGATGCGTTAGCCAGACATAAAGAGGGAAACACGTTCCCGTAAACAGGTTGTACCTTCTAAGTGGTGGCGGGACATATACTTGAGTGCTTCATCCAATAGGATGACAGGAATTGAGATCTTGAGGACTATGATCCATTGGGAATAATGCAGTGGAGTTACCTGGAAGATCAGCTGGGGAACACAAAATGATAAGAAAGACAAAATGAGAAACAAAGTGCGGAGGTCTGGAAAAGAGCTCGCTCCATATTTTCTGTAATTACCATGCATGCGTGCAAAACCATCATGATATAATCATCGATTCAGTCAACAATATAATCATTGATTCTGCGACACAAAAACTCCTCAACAGTAAACTGATGCACTGTTCTATTTCTGATGTGCTTCAAGCACCTGTGCTACTTCTGTCACGAATGGATTTGCAATGGTCACTTTGTATTGTTTTTATGAAAATATTCAAATAGTTAATTAAACCAATAAAGAAATATGTTAATTATAATAATGCTATTGTACTGTACAAAAAAAACATGCATTAACAATAATAATTTAATTTTACAGAACAGCAGTAAAATTGCAATATTAATATGTATGGCGGTCTTAATTTGTTTGCTTTCAAGTGTTAAACCAATTAACTTTTAGTTTTGCAAAACCATATGGAGACCTTGAAGCGTCTCTTTTGTTGACAATAGATTTATAAATGACTCTCATTACAAATATGAGGAAATGGTTGGTGCATGTTGCATTTTTAAATGCACGTTATAAGTTATCCAAGCTCAAAGCACTTGAAGAGTTTGTATGGAGCAGCATTTATGTTAAATCGAGACATTTAGAGTTGCTTAAATCGCTGGATCATGAGCTGCTCGGGTGTAAAAACACAGTGCTGCGCTTCAAGCACTGAAGACAGGAGCTTTTTTGCTGTTTTTGACAACTCAAAAGATGGTCCTCACTTCCCTGCATATATTGCATGTGATCCACATAAAAAAATAAAGTCGCATTTGGAACGACATGAGGGTAGGTAAATGCAGTAAATGGTTAATGATTGTTTAAAATAAATAAATTATTTTCATTTTTGGGTGAACCATCTCTTTAAATACTTTATTTTGCAATGTGGAAGTAATCAATTTTCTGTGAATGTGCAAGACTTCCAATTCAGATAAATAACTAGAAAAATAAAGTGCAGCAAACGGTAAAACTAATCGTTCTACAAATTAGTGCGTTTAAGATTACGGTAATAAATTAAAATAATATGATAACAAATACCGATTTGCAGTAACAAGCAGCATAACAGACTGTTTTTGTAGAGCTAAATGAACTGGAAGCTGATGACACTAGAAGCCTCACACATTGAAGTTACAATTCGCTGTGCCCGCTCTTACATTCAAAAATAAGGTGAATAGTGACACAGAAAAGAGAGGTGTTCTTGTATATTTCACTCACCGGTAGAGGCTCCACATACAGGATGAGGAAGTGTAGAGATAAGGAAAGGATTATTGCCCCTAGCAGCCATATATTCACCCAGGGTGGCATCCTCAGCAGAGACTGATTCTCTGACAGGCTGAATGAGAGAAGAATCACAGGCCTTGGGTCTTAAATGACTTCTTTATACCATTTACCAAGTAGTCATTTAAGTTACACTCACATTAAAAATGACAATGAGAAGAATAGAAGTAGCAAAAACTTTTTTTTTTAAATCAACATTTAGGTCTACTATTTTTTATTTTTTTTTTAAGTATTTTTGGAAGAAAATGAACTTTAGAACTGTCACAGACCCAGCACAGCTCCACTGAGACATCTGAAATCTGTTTTACAGTAACTACTTAGACATATTGAAAGAACACAGTTGATGCAGTGCTATCACCATGGCAGCAGGTCTTACCTGTTAAGAGAGTTGAACATCTCTATGGTAACAAGCACAGAAAGAGCCATGGTGGTGGGGTAACGTGACTCAAAGACCTCACAGTCAATGCCCTGAAACATGGGATTTTCTTCTGTACACTGCATAAAGTGCCGCTACAGACAAGAAAAAAGACAGTTTAAAGTCAGTGTGGGACAGTATCAAGAGCATCACAAGCCATCTTGAAGATCTTCAAGTGTTTGTTTTCTAAGTGGCTTCATTCTTAATAAAACAGAAAAGCTGTGCTTTAGTGCATCTAATATATTCACCATATCAGATGCAAGAGCAATAAGACAGGAAATTATTTGACCCACTGATGGAAGTCTTTGTGACCTTTGAGAGACTGATGTCATATCAGAAAGAGCAGCTGTGTAGATCATCCTGTGAGATCTGAACTCCCTGACACTAAACAGTTGTGTCTTTATTTTAAAATATTCAGATATACACAAAAATCAGAGAACAGTTTAAACTTCTTCTCTCTAAAGTCTGGGGTCAGAAAGATGTTTTTTTTAAAGAAATTAATAATTTTATTCAGCAAAGGTGCATTACATTCATCAAAAGTTACATTCAATTACATTTATTATGTTACAAAAAATGACATGAATTAAATGCTGTTCTTTTGAAATTTCTATTTATTAAAGAAAAGTATGATATATAATTTTATAGAAATACTTCTTAAATTAACTCAAGCATAATTTTTTTAAATTGTACTTCAGAAGAGAAATTATCCTAGTAATAATAATAAATACTGTCAGCAAACTTAAACAATGTATATGGTCTCACTGTTGACTCACCAGCTGATAGAAAGACACCTGTGGCCCATCCTCATCAAACAAATACCACCAGGTGGCAGCACCGACAGTGCCTAGACCCACATATCCTAGAAAAACGAGTACAATAACTCCAGTGATGTTTATAGAGCTTCATAGAGCTGACTTGCAGTTTTTATGGAAGATCTGTAAGTGTATTTAATGTGGCAACATTTTTAAAAATAATTTTAGATTCTATGGAATAACCAAGATATTGGGCTAACCTCCAATGGCCAGGTATCTGAAGAAGAGCCAGCCAGAGATGAGAGGCTCCTTAGGGTTTCTGGGGGGCTTGTCCATGATGTCCAGATCAGGGGGGTTGAAGCCCAGGGCAGTGGCCGGCAGACCATCCGTCACCAGGTTCACCCACAACAACTGGACGGGGATCAAAGCCTCAGGCAGGCCAAGGATGGCTGTCAGGAAAATACTGTGTTGGGGGGAAAAGAAGGAATCCACATGAGTGTAAATGTGGATAGGAAACTGAAGCACTACACTAATCAGGCTCTCACTCACCACACCACCTCTCCCACATTGGAGGAGATGAGGTAACGGATAAACTGCTTCATGTTGTTGTAGATGGCTCGTCCCTCTTCAACTGCGGCCACGATGGTGGAGAAGTTATCATCAGAGAGCACCATCTCGGAGGCTGACTTGGCTACAGCTGTGCCTGAGCCCATGGCGATGCCAATTTCAGCCTTTTTTAAGGCAGGGGCATCGTTCACACCATCTCCGGTCTGAAAGTGAGATGGGAAGGAACAGAGTGAAAGATAAGGGCTAATAGACACTAGTGGGCTTTCCACACAACATGTAACATTTGGCCCTTCTTAGCCCACCTCTGAACCATAATTGACCTGCTGGATTGACATGCCATTTTATCACACAAGTATTTGCTCTTTTCTGATGCACATATATGAAAGTCCGAGATCTGCATGGAGGAATGGGCCAAAATACCAGCAACAGTGTGTGAAAACCTTGTGAAGACTTACAGAAAACATTTGACCTCTGTCATTACCAACAAAGGGTATATAACAAAGTATTGAGATTAAATTTTGTTATTGACCAAATACTTATTTTCCACCATAATTTGCAAATAAATTCTTTAAAAATCCTACAATGTGATTTTCTGGATTTTTTTTCCCTCATTTTGTCTCTCATAGTTAAGGTATACCTATGATGAAAATTACAGGCCTCTCATCTTTTTAAGTGGGAAAACTTGCACAATTGGTGGCTGACTAAATACTTTTTTTCCCCACTGTATGTGCTGGATAATTTCTGACAAGGTCAATTAAAACATACAAGGAAGACATGTATTTTCCCCAAAACATTTGTACATTTGCTCTAAGATAAACGGAAGCTATTTCATTTATGCATTAATCATGTTACTGTGCATTTTAAGAGTTTATTTAAAGAAAAACAACAGATAAAAATGTTAGAAATTTCACAATTCATTCAAGAAAACATAATATTCACATTTTTTCCACTTTATGAACACATTTTAATGATTTTAAATCACATTGGTTCATAGAAACCTCCAATTTACTTCTATGGTGTGTTCTGTAAAGGCTGTCTGAGTTATCAACAGCAACTAAAAGGGGCGGAGCTTATCAAAGGGTCAATTCAAATCCATTAGTTTAAAACATAGATTCAAGCAAGGATTCAAAACATATTAAGCTTATGAAAAGTCCTAATGATCAGAGGGTAAATCATATTTGCTCTTGGGTAAATGCTTATTATAGGCTGGGGATTAAACAGGAGTCAAGTAGAGGATGAGGAAATCTGTTTTCATGTCACAGAAGCAAAGCAGCCTCTGTCATGCACACTGATGTCTTCTGGGAAATACCTCAATTCCCCAAATGACAACCAGACACATGCATACAACAGAGCTGGAGGCGAAAGTATGTAAACAGCAAGAGAGCTGACATGCTCTCTTAACGCCGACAGAGAAAATCAGCATAAAAGACAAGGCTGTCTACCTCTGAGATGTAGGTATTACATTATTGCTAAGAGACTGGAGAGTAGAATCAGAGGCTTCATCCTTCATATGATTCTCTCAGCTCTCTTGAGTGTATAATTGCCACCTTCAATCATATTAGTAGCCCAACTGTGACAAAAATGATAACATGCTGTATATAAAGTTATTCATTGGTGGTAATGAAACAATTTTCTTTTACTCAAACCAAAAGTATAGCAATTAGATCATACAATAATATTAATGTTAAATGTAAGGTTAATACTTTAACATTTTCTCATGTTACAATACAATAAACTTCAAAAAGGTTTTAGTGCAGAAAAAAATTTGTTTTCAGCCCAAAGGTTTTTTCACATCTGCTAACAGTGGGTGAAATGAGAAAATGTACTGGCCATAAAAGTGAACTGACATCAGCAAGGGTTAGACTATCCTTCTTAAAATTCAACTTAAATCATATATTATGTTGCAGCTCCTAATATATTATTCAACTAATGACTGTGTTTCACTTTTTTCAAGTCAATTTTTACTAGAATTTGGTGGTCGGCCACTAAACCACTATATCTCACCATCGCTGTGATCTCATCAAAGGACTGTAGGTAAGCAACGATCTTTGACTTGTGTGCAGGCTCGACACGGGCAAAGCACCGTGCCCTTTTCACAGCTTCTCGCTGGGCCTCCGGAGTCAGGTCATCGAACTCTCTGCCCGTGTAGGCTCTTCCTTCCACATCTTCATCCTCATCGAAAATGCCAATGCGTCTGCAGATGGCCACTGCGGTGCCCTTGTTGTCCCCAGTGATCATGATGACACGTATACCGGCCTTACTGCACAGCTTCACTGAGCCAATCACCTCCTTTCTGGGTGGATCCAACATCCCCACACAGCCAATGAAGGTGAGATTTGACTAAACAGATGATCAGATTTTGCATGTTATCCCAGATATATAAATTTACATGTACAGTGGCCTGAGAAAATACTCGGGCATGCAATCCACATGCAAAAATGTATGAATTTAATTACATTAAACTAAAAAGACCAGAAGATGAAACAGTATCTACAAGCAAATATCACCCATTACCATTAATATATATATATATATTGCTTTAATAACTGTAATAATTGACAACTGTTAATAATAAATATAGTCAACTAATTCATAATTGTTTTAATGAATAATATTAAATAATAATAACAAATATTAACTAAATAATAATAAATGATAAATAGTAAATAAATAAAAAATATATATTTTGTACATGTATTGCTTTAATAACGGTTTAACTGACCATAGTTAATAATTAATAACCAACTAATTAATACTTGTTTTAATAATAATATGAACAAACAATAATAAACATTAAAAAACAACAAATTATAATAATTTCTATAATATATACAAATTATATTGTTTTAATTAAAAAAGTAAACCCCAAATTCTGTTTAAAAGGTGTTCTTGTGCTATCCTTTTCTAAAATAATTCACTTTGATTTGATATTTTGCTGTATTATATAGTAACAAATTTTACATTTTTTATCTGTTGCTTAAGTGATATTACAAAATAATATACATGGGGAATTGAGTTTTAAAAAAGGATGACTGGTAAAACTACTGTGGTAAACAATGTGGACAGATGTTCATAAAGTTTCAACACATCCAAATTCTCTCACCTCGTACTCTGAGAACTTGGCAGAGTTTTCTAAGTCCATTTTGTCTTCAGGAGGGGGAGAGTCTCGTGTGGCCAAAGCCAAGCAGCGCAGTGTGTCCCTGCCTGCCCCCCAGTCTCTAATAGTGCTCATCAGTTCCTCCTTTACCGCCATGGTCAACGGGACACGGTCTTTACCAACACGCACAAACTGACAACGGTCAATCACACCTTCTGGTGCGCCCTACATACAAGAAGAGTGAAAGTAGAAACAAATGTGATGCATACAGCAAAGTTTACTGAAGGTATTTATAGATGTTAGATGTTTTCAGATGTGTGTTTAAGTTAGCGGTACCTTGATAAACATCTTGCTCTGAGAGTTCGAGCCGCTGGGAGTGCAGTACACAGACATGGACTTCCTGTCTCTGGAAAACTCCAGTGTGAATTTTTTCTGCATTAGCCTTCTGATAATCTAAGGGAAAGAAGCAAAAAAAAGGGAGATAGAGAGAGAGAAGGTGGAATGTTAGATCAAACAAAAGTGAAACACTGTTGTCATTGTGTGTGTGTGGTTGGTAAGATGTCATTCTCAGCTGTTTTCTAGGCTTGCCTTCAGACAGCACTGTTTGTAGTCAGCGGTCAAACCCAGGTAGTTGAGTTTCAGACATAGTAATTGACAGGCTCTATGAAACACTGCACCAGTCTTATATATATATATATATATATATATATAAAAAAGTGTTTAGCCTTTAATAAATATCGACAATCAAATGTTAAAGATTAGAGTAGAGTAGCTGAAAATTATGTTTGAGGCATGGTGCTCATGTAGGTTCTAGAGGTCAATTGTTCAGACAGCACATCACAGGGCTCAACAATAAGGCATCATTGCATTGTATGCAATTGTTTTCCAATAAAAATGTTAATGTAATGTTATAGGTGTATAATTGATACATTTTCAATTTAAGTAAACTTGACATTTAATGAAAAATATACACTACCGTTCAAAAGTTTTGGGGTTGGTCAGTGCTTGAAAGAAGTCTCTTATGCTCACTTTGCTTACTCTCATGCATTTATTTGATCAGAATATCAAAATATTAAAAATACAATTTTTCTATTTGAATATATTGTAAAATGTAATTCCGGAGATGGCAAGGCTGAATTTTCAGTAGGCATTAGATGAAAAAAAATGTCTTATAACAATACATTTTTGTCACTTTTTACCAATTGTCTTTGCAGAATAAAATTATTAATTTGTATTCATCACTTTCAACAGTGGTGTATATATTTCTAGCATTAATTAATCTATTAATTAATTACTCAATTACAATGTATTAAAAAAAGAAAATTTTTACAATCCCACTACAATCCAGATATGCAGGACAAAAATTCAGTGAGGCAAGGGAATTATTTTGCCACTAGGTGGAAACCACCTCCAGCACACAAGAACAGAGAATGCCCTACTTAAAATACTGTACATCATGCTCTGCCTCTGTCCGTGGCTTTCTTTAATAATGGGATCAGTACTCATTTCTACAGATGTTTAAACAAATCATGCATGTGTGAGAGGAAACCAGTGTCTCTTCTTCCCAGCTCCCCTGAGAACATGACGTCACTCCTCAGTAGGGTTCCCGTTTTCTCTATCTTCCAAAGCTTTATGAAAAAACATTTAACCCCCCCCTTACATCCATCCATGTGCCCATCCAACTATCTGTCATCATTGAAAGTCTGCCACCAATACGTATTGACAGAAGTAACATCTCTTTTGGTTTTATAGTGAAGTGAAATTTTGGATTAGAGTGGAAAATGTAGCTAACCTCTTCATAAACTCCCCTGGTTATCTAAATATTATGCTTTGCCTCTGGGAATCTGTGTCACAGAAGTTTCTTTTTTGGAGAGGAGAAGGATTCAGGGGTCAGTAGAATAAAGAGCGCTGCTGGTCATTCACTCTTTCAAAGAAAAATGTTTCCCATAGAGAAAAGGGAGAGACGGATCAAGACTAGTCCACTGTTCCCAGTCTCCCTAATGCAGCTGTGTGGGACATGTGACTGGTTTCTATAAACATCTACAAGCATGAACAAACCTCAAGCCTTTGTCTCAGTCTTTATCTAACTATTGACTTGAATTAACAATCCATTTAACATGGCTTGCACAAGGTGCATGCAGTAAGTTTCTTGATGTTTTTGGTTTATCCCAGTGATCTTTCATGTCAAACTGACACCTATCAGCATGGATGCATGTTTATTGACTTCATAAGAGTGACTGTGTTTGAACGGAGACATTTCCCAGTGTGTTTTCAGGGTTTCAGTCATAATAATCTGATTTTGATTCAAAGTCTGATTCAAGTTCTGATTCAAAGTCTTAAAGGGACTTTGGTTAAACTGTCAAACTGAGATTTGAATTTGTGGCAGAAGGAAGTAGTTCTGTACAAAAGAGCATTTTAAAAGACACTCCGTTGTTGTTTTTCTTATGTATTTACACACTCATGCTGTCGAACTGTTGTGTAAATGCAATATCACACTCGTAGACATGAGATATGGCTGTATATCGGCACGCTGCTGTGTTTACCTGAGGCAACACCATGTCATCTCATTTTTTTAAATATCCTGTCTTGCAACACTGGCCAATCTTTGGGAACTCTCATATTTCTTCTGAAGCCTCATCTATCTATCCTTCTATTTATCATCTTTCATCACTTCCCGTTATGTTCTCTTTTATTGTTGTCTGTCTCTCATCCTGGTGCACCCCATGGCTTCCTTCTTACCAAGTTGCATGCTGAAGCTCGGTCCACTTTGCTGAGTCCGGACAGGTCGGTTTTAAATACGTTCATCTTCTCCACCAGAGTCGTGAGCGCAGTTTCTGTGGCCTCACCCACTTTCTCGTATACTCCTTTGGCCTGCGGGACAACAAATGTGTGTAAAAATTCAGTGCCCTATTAGCCCAAACAACATGAAGTATATGGCACTTGCATAATCATTTAAAATAGAAGCCTGGAGTAATGCACTCACTTCAGAAATGATTGTTACAGTGCACTTTAAAAGTCACATGGAAGCAATGGACTATGTGAGTGTGAAAAAAGAAATCTAACTCTAGTAAATATATTCTAATATTTTGATGTGAACATTTATTATTATGATTTATGTTAACAGTCGTGTTGCTTAATTTTTTTTTTTTTAAAAAGCATTTATTTTAAAAAGAAATATTTATCCAACATTATGAATGTCTTTACTATAACGTTAATGTAATGCCCTTGCTGTATAGAAGTACCAATTTCTTTAAAAAAAATACAGACAGACAGACAGATAGATAGACAGATTTGAGAGATTTGAATTGTTATGCATATGTACCAATATCTTTAGTATGACCAAAATCGTCCTGAAATTTGAATGTGGCAGAGCTTGGAAGGTGAATGGACTAATGGAAAGACTAATTTCTAACCAGTGAAATATTTTAGAATGGTCAAGTACAGTATATACGTTTATTTGCTATAGACATTTTTATTCAATTTTTTGCTATAGACATTTCTTTATTTATTTTCATGACCTTTCCAAAACTGTAAATGACAACTTTAAAATCCTGTATTTCCTGATTATTGAGCCTGGTCAGTACCTGGATGGGAGACCTCCTGGGAAATCTAGGTTGCTGCTGGAAGAGGTGCTAGTGAGGCCAGCAGGGGGTGCTCACCCTGTGGTCTGTGTGGGTCCTAACGCCCCAGTATAGTGACGGGGACACTATACTGTCAAAAAGCACCGTCTTTCGGATGAGACGTTAAACCGAGGTCCTGACTCTCTGTGGTCATTAAAAATCCCATGGCACTTCTCATAAAGAGTAGGGGTGTAACCCCTGCTCTGGCTTGCACTGGCTTGCCTGGCCAAATTGCCCCCATGGCCTCCTAATAATCCCCAACCACTTGGCTCTATGACTCTCTCTCCTCTCCACCTGTAGCTGGTGTATGGTGAGCGCACTGGCGCCGTTGTCCTGTGGCTGCCGTCGCATCATCCAAGTGGATGCTGCACACTGGTGTTGGTTGAGGAGAGACCCCCCCCACATGATTGTAAAGCGCTTTGGGTGTACAAGAATACACAATAAAGCGCTATATAAATGCATCATTCATTCAACAATGTTACTCAACATTCAAACACAAGGCTCCTGTGTTAATATCTACTGTATAATGGTTTATTAGATCTATAATGTTCACAGTTCACTTGAAGGATGCTGGTCACTCTCTGTGGAAATATTTGCATTATTCCAGGAAGCAGGCTACTACGGTGGTGGAACATGACACTGAATTAGGTAGTGTTTATTTATCATATTAAAAACATGGTCAGAATACACGGACTAAGACTTTTAAAATATTTGCTTGATATGGCTGCCTTTAACATATTACTATTACTCGCGTGGCGTCTTTTAAAACTCTTCGGCTTGCTCTAACTTGCACTGTCCTCTACCCTACCTGACAACCATGGAATAAACATGATATTACGTAATGCAGAAACCATGATACCATGGCAATGGCACAGAGATGAGAAATGCAAGCCAAATGTTCAAAACATGCAAACTAAAAAGCTGCCCATCCCTGAGGAACAGAGGGTGCATGGTTGACACTTCAGCAATGAGAGCAGGACAGACTCAAAAACACTGATTGAGACTCTTTGTTAAACTCAGAAGGGTAAATGTGGCAACTGTGAAGATCCAAGCACACACTGCTGACCTCATTATAGTCCAGCGAGGAGTCATTGCACAGGGAGCAAATAGTAGCCAGTTCCACCAGACCATCATATTCTCCACACTGCACTGGCTTGTCGGCTTTCAGCCTAAGGGGAGAGATCATTGTTGCAAGATGAAGGGATGTAAATACAAACCAGAATGAGCATTAGATTATTTGTACTAGGTAAAAATGACAAGATGTTTTGGGAAGGATCAAGTGCTCTGAGTGTGTTTGTGTGCTCTTACACTTGTCCCTCCGGAGCATAGGTTGAGCCGGTGATGGTGAACTCATGCAGGGAGCAGCTGGTGTCATCAGCCTTATTAAGCACAAACATCTAAGAGAGACAAAAGTGAGATAGGGAGAGAGACAGATTAATGAAACAAACTGAACATCAATGAACCCACTTTTTTGGACAATGCATTTCTATTACTTTTTTTATTCATGATTACGGAATAAAGTTGTTCTGTTTTAATTTAAAATAGCTTTAAGACTGCACATTTCACAACTGAACATAACTCGACGCTCAACAGTAAGCAGAGTAATATCACAACAGTAATATCTAACAATGTTAAATACAAAAACTACTGGCCAAATGGTCTGGCACAAAAAATCTTATTGTTGAACCTTGAAACTAAAACAAATAAATTAAAACCTAATGGTTAGAGAGTCAGACTTGTAACCCAAAGGTCGTGGGTTCAAGCCTCTGTACCGGCAGGAATTGTAGGTGGGGGGAGTGAATGACCAGCACTTTCTTCCACCCTCAATACCACTACTGAGGTGAGACCCTTGAGCAAGGCACCAAGGTCCCTGGGCGCTGCAGCAAATTAATGGATGCCCACTGCTCCAGGTATGTGTTCACGGTGCGTGCATGTTCACTACTCACTGCTGTGTGTGTGCACTTGGATTCCGAGTATGGGACACCATACTTGGCAACAAGTCACGTCACGTCACTTATTCATTTCCATAACCTCCACAGGCCAAGAAACGACAATTTTAAAATTCCCAGATATTCCCAGGTTTTCCATGAGGAAATCCTGGCACAAAGTTCTAAATGTTCATAAGTTTACCAATTAAAAAGTAGTTATTGTAATTAAAGTTGGAAAAATAAAGAACTCCACAACTGTGCCCAAGAAAACATGCTTTTGAGAAGAATAAACAAATAAGTTCTCTAAGGCATCTGAAAACAGTTACAAACCCCAATTGCATAAAATAAATAAAAAACGGACAGTTATGACTCCACCCAATCAGCTCTGGGGTTTCCCTTATCCTCCGTCCAATCAGAGGCAGAGCAATGATGTTGTAATGTACTGGCTGCGGGTAGGTTCCTGTGTTTAGTGGCCTGGCATGAGCTCTTCCCTGTCTGAACCAACACACTCACACAACTGCCAACAGACAACACAGACTACAATAAACTACTGCCTCCTACTGAAATGTCTGCTTTCACTGGACCAAATGAAAGCAGATGAGGTGAAAGAGTGACAATCACTTTGCCCATATTTTGGCTGACATTTGTCTAGTTTTATTATTATTAACTCCAGGTGTTGTACTGTATTGTGTTGTCTTGTGTGCACAACCAAGGCCAAATCCTACTGCATGACTAAAAAGTGAAATCATAAAGTGATTCTGATTCTTAAAATAAACAACACACAAGTGTCAGAGAGAGCTGGACGACATGAAGAGGTGAAGATGAGTTCAGCCTGACAACATCAGACAAATCGGCCAAACCTATAATGCAATGCTTTTTTTTTTGACATGAAGTCTTTGGCATGACATTCATCACGCTGAAATGAGCCAGCAGGAGAAGTGGCAGCCCTGGGTGAGTTTCAGCGGAGAGAAGACAGATCTTATTTCCTCACTATAGCCCTCCTCCGGTATGCGCTGGAAAGGAGTACAAATGAATCCTGATCTTACGAGGTGTCGTAAATGTTGATTATGCAGTAGGTGGACGTGCTGAAATGTGTTTTATCATGATTAAAAGCCACTGCGGTTGAGATCAGTAGTTGTATGGATGCTAAAACACACACACAAACACAGATTCCAGAAGTAGGTTCTTATCAACATCAGCACTCGTCTACATAAGAAGCATCTAAACTTAGATATTGCTAACACAACACTTGCCAAGCAGCCATGTATGGGCAGTTCCTTAAAAGGAAGGTCATATGAAAGGTTGTCTCAAACATACACGAACGTACAAACACGCAGAGGAAACATATTCTCTCGTGGCGTGACATCACTCAGAGCAAGACTCAATTAAATGTGTCCAATTAAAGAATTAACGAAGCAGCTAAGTTGTAAAACTTTCAGAGCTCCACAATACTCTCCTGCTTCCTGTTTGAAATGAACACACATACACAAAACTAAATTGTGGAAAACACAAAGCAAGTGGCAGGCAGCAGCAATCAGAGGGCTGGATCATGCCCCTAAGCCCTTAAAATAAATGGATTATTGAGTTAGCTTGCTCGGCAGGAAAGAACAGTCTCTCAGGCAAAAAATGTGCCTTTATAAAGTAATGACCAAACTATCAAGTACTGGTACACTGTGCCATTTATCAGCATCCGTGCACAAGTACAGAGTGCTTTTTACTCCGCTAACATAAAATAAATAATCATTTTTGGGAACATTACAGCATGATGCTGCTTTTTTATTATATGAACAGTAGGCTAGCTGATTCTAAACATAAGTTACAAAAGTGTCCGGTTCTCCTTTTTGTAGTACACTATTTTGGGGCCTGCTTCTCTGGTCTTTAACCACACAGGAATCTGTGCCGCTCAATTTCCAGAGTCAAACACCATGCAAACAGACATTGTCAACTGGGAAAGAAACCAAATTAGATCCAGTTGCCTGCTCACTAGCACAATGTACTCCTTGAACTTGGAATGCTTGGCTCTGACATGCTCATTTAGTGAAAAATCTGTTTGGCTGTAATGTCATCTTTAGGTATTTAGTATTTATAGGCTCCAATAACTCCGTAGAAACCTCAGCAGAATTTGCATGGCCCTTATTCACCATGTTATATAAAAATACCTACGATTGACTAGGTATTCGGACATACGAGCAATGGATAATAGTCACTAGACACTAACTGGCCATTCTCAGCATTGTTTGTTTGTTTATTTTACTTATAAAGCACACATTAATACAACTACTGTTGCCTAAGGTGCTGTACAATAAAAGTACAAATAAGTAAAAACATTAACATACAAAAGTTATGTTTAAAAGTAAATTTAATGGTAAAACAGAAAAATTCAATAACATCCCTCAATACCCAGTAGAATTGAAAGCCTGAGATAATAAATTAGTTTTTAACCGAGTTTTAAAACTAAGAGAATTCCACAGTCTAGGTGCAACTACCGAAAAAGTCATCACCCCTAAGTTTTAATCTACACCTAAGAACAGTTAGAAGCAGCTGATCAGAGGACCTAAGAGATCTAGTAGGTATGTGCTGTTCTAGAAGGTCTGCAAGGTAAGAAGGTGCCAAACCATTTAACGATTTAAAAACAAAGAATAGAAGCTTCAATTCTATTTGGAATTGGTGAGTTACAAATCTACTTCATGTATTTTATGCATTACTATTATTAATAATATTCAAATTTTTTAGCTTCCAAATTTTTAACAAACGGAGTAAATAAAATGCAATATAATGTAGTATTTTTCCCTCAGAAATAATTCTAATTTGTGTAACATCATCCTTCTGATATGCTGCTTTAGTTCCCAAGAAACATTTCTTCTTCTTATCAAAGTTTTATTATTATTGTTATCAAAATCTTATTATAAGTAAAGTTATCAATCAGTTGAACGGTTTACTATTTTTGCGGGAACTGTGCTACATTTTTTCAGGATACTTTGATGTATAGAAAGTAAAAAGAATATAGAAATACTATAAGTGTCTTTGTCATTTTTGACCAATTCAATGTATTCTCACTTAATTAAAATATTAATTACTTTCAAAATATTCATACCAAAAATCCTACTGACCCCAAACTTTTGAACATTTATATTGTGTATTATATTGATTCACAATCTACTGATCATTAAATAATCCACTATACAACATTGTTAAACACATTTGACCATATTTTAATTCATTCTCCAGAATTCTGTAGATTTCCCCACCACAGTAAGCAGAAATTCAAATATGACACCCATAATGTCCTGAAATGTACCAACCAAAGCAGCAGTAGCATTAAAGGAAAAACATCATGAGGGTTGTTGCTAGCTTGTTTTGTTTGTTTAGTCATTTATAAATCAGATCTGCGGCAAAAACACTAACAACCATCCCACAACTTGGCAGACATGGAACTATGTTGATCTATGTTGCCATAGCAACAGATGCCAAGGAACAGGGTAGCATGCAGTGACATGCAATGATGAGCCTCTGATAAGGATGTGTGTGTGTGTGTGTGTGTGTGTGTGTGTGTGTGTGTGTGTGTGTGTGTGTGTGTGTGTGTGTGTGCGTGCAATTCAGCAGTAGTGGAAAAGGATTTTAGGCACCCGTATTTCCTCCTGATTTAGCCAAAGTGACTTCCGCATTAGTGACGGTGACACTTGGATGATGTCTGGCCTCAACAAGGCACACAGTTAGTTGATTGGCTTAGGTCATCCTGAACGACACTGCAACGTAGTGACAGCACTAATTCCAAGCCCAGGATAAGCGTCTCGTCTGTCTCTATAATAAGCCTCTCAGCATTACACTTTTAGTACTTAACATTACGAGGCACAGGAGGTTTAACAGAATGTTGAATACATTTTCACAAGCACAATTTTAAAATTCTGTTTCGCATGTGAAATGTCTTTTCCTTCTTTTCTTTAAGGACTCTTCAGGTGATGAACTTTGTCACTTTGCTTCAGGCTTAGGCTGACATTGTTACCTGTTCCCCACCGTGAAGAATAGGAGTTGATGAAAAAATTAGCAACAAACACAGGCATACATATAACTCCGCAAACAAACTGAGGCCTATTTCAGATTAGAAGCAAACTTTGTTTCAGAACTATTTTTATCATTCATGTCTCTTACTGTCTCTGTCTCCTTCCTACTGTATGTGACAGTACTATGCATTAAACTGTGCATGACATTTGGTAATGTCTTATATTGATTAATATTAATATAATGGTAAAAAGGCAATCAAAACAAGCACACCTTTTTTCAAAATAAAGAGTAATTTAACACGAAATGTTCCAGGTATACAAAAAAGTCTTCAACATACAGTATGTTACAGTGAATAGTTGGCATTAGACTTCCTAAATGTGCGTCTGTGACTCTGCTCCCTACGGCATTCTTGGATCATGCTGCAGCAGGAGCAGACGCAAGGAAAAGCGTGAAAGGAATAGAAATGA